TTTTAAACAGCATTTCAACATATTTGGTTTATCAAGTGGTAACTCTCAGTATATTGTTTCTTTTTTGAATGAGAATATGTGTGGCTATATCTATGGTCTTGTTGCAATTTAGCATTTACCCTCACTAGGGTCCTTGAGGGTGCATGGGAGGTTCCAAATCCATTCTACTTGTGGACTTAAAGAAGGCATTCAACCGTATTCATCAAAGTAGACTAGGGGTGCTCTGTGAATATGAGGGTATGAGTTGCCGGTCTCGTGCTACAGGCCGTTCAGTCCCTATACAGTTAGTGCAATAGTTTGATTCGTATTGCTGACAGTATGTACATCAGATAACTATTTGTTTGTTTCTGATTGCACAACTTCAGAATTTATCTACACCTGCTAGCATGTAATGTCCATAAAAATTTCTTTAAATGCAGTGAGTTGCATGTGACTGCACGCTTTCTTCAGAAAACCTACGCGTGCATGACGAAAACATGTAAACTTCATACAAAAATGTCAGAGAACAAACCTGAAACTTTTATTGCTTTGAGGCAACAGCGCCAACTACTGCTTCACTATGCTGCTTTATTTGTATTATTAATAAATAAATGATGTGTGTCATGATGTAACAATCTAAAACAGTGTCATTAAAATGTACTCTTTAATCAACAGAAAAGGTAAGCTTGCCAGTTTGATTTTGAGAGATGGTTCAGGGTATCAGGGACCTCACAAATAGACAATTGAATAGAAGCTTGTTTGTTTCTTTGCCTGCAGAAGTATTTAGCTGCCAGTCATAAAGTTGGGGGTTCAATCCCAGCTTTCCCCACCACATGTTCAAGGGTTTTGGGCAAGTCTTTGAATCCCAAGATGCCCCTGATCTATGAAAGACTGAAAAAAAGATGTAAAAATGATTTCAGTGGTTAGTGAGACTAGAATAAGGCTATTAAATGTATACCTCTTTATCCTCTGTAGGTTTCACCAATACTAAAACAGAAAAGAAGAAATTGTAACTACTGTCAAGTAGTTCTCACTGCAATAGTTGAGAACATTAGCTCCGACGTGGTTCTGTCAGTGCAACTCTGCTCTGTCTCAGAAGAAGCCATTTAATGAGTCTTTCTGAGCAAAGAGGTGTAAAGGCTAATAGGTTTTATTTTTCTTTTCAGTAAAGTCCTGGCCCGGCATTAATCACCTTTAAAACCCACACTGTACCTCTTAGGCCTCCTTCACACAAAATTACAACCGTAATATATCTCAGTCGGCTCGACCTGATAGAATGAGGTTGAATGACAACAAATTTGGAAATCCTTCTAAAATATGAAGGTGATTGATATGTTTCTATGCCCTTAGTATTCACCAATTAGGCTTTTCCTGGCTTTTCTTTGCATCCCTGAAATGCTACATGTGCACTCACTATGCTCTACATGTCCACCTGTGGCACAATTCTCTTGATATTACAACTGTGCTGGGTTATTTTCATGAGACAAGCATGGCCAGCCCTACTTGATCAAGTAACATTGGTGCATGCAGTCCCCATCTCTTGGACATGCTGCCACCACAGGATAAACCACCACAATCACACCACAGGCATTTTGTCCATGCCCAAAAACCATTGTGGATCCATCATGCTCCATCCTGTGGAGCCTGGTGCTTTCCTGGTATGCCCCTAGTATGACCTTGCAAAGATCAACCATGTTCACCCATATTGTAGCAGGGTTCTCATCCAGTGTGGAAAAAAGCCTTATTACATGTGCTTACTGTTAGATTTATTTCTCAAGTTCTTCCTTTGCAAACGTTCGTATGAAGCGATTGAGAAATTACCCAGAAGTACTTGAGGGTTTAGAGCTCACCCAAAGTTGCTCAATCTTACAGATGCCATCTTTTAAAGGGCCTTTCAAATGTGTTCAAAAGTGAAGAATACCATGGCTGTTAAATTGGCTATCCAGAGTAAGGTTTAGTTTATTGCACTTTTGAGATCAAGAGTATTTGAGCTATAAAGTTATTCTGAAAATTACTAATAAGTTCCAAATCAATAATTATTTTATACAAGTCCTGATTCCTAATAAAATATTATGGCTCTTTTTTAAATTATTGGTTTTATTTGAGTAACTGCAACTGTTTATTATTGGAATACATTACGTAAAAACACCATTTTAAACACATTTGTTTACAATGTTAAAAATAATCAAGTTTGTTCTACTATTTTGGTTTCATTGCATAAATGAATTACTGAAATCGTGTTTTGTGGGATGGGCTGAGCTGAGATGAAGATTAAGAGATGTGAACACACAAAACAGACATCTGATTTAACGCACACACACACAGCTGGCCAGATAAACCCCATCCAAATGTGATCAGCAGGCTTGTGCTTGACGTCAACAAGCACAGTCAGGATTATTTAATGTTTTACGCTTGAGCTTTGCACTTCAACACTTGCTGACTTGCATAATATCTTGTATCCTGAGACCTGTGACAAGGCTCACTTTGATTTTATTAGATTTTGCTGATATAGTGAGGGAAATAATTATCTGATCTCTTGCTGATTCTGTAAACTTCTTCACTTGAAAAAAGAACAGTCTATTTATTATTTAAAGTAGAGACAAAAGATCAACACATATATGAAAATTATATGCTGTAAGTTTTAAAATGACTTGTATGTACAGTAATTGAGTGAACTACGTATTTGAAGCAAAACATAACAGTACTTTAATGTTTGCTAAAAGCACAACAGTAAGATGGTTCTTGTAGCTGGTCACCATGTTTGGAGTCATCTTGGTCCACTCCACTTTATAGAAGCCCTCTAAATCCTTTAGGGTTCTAGGTTGTTGCTTGGCAGCTCAAAGCTTTAGCTCCTTCTGCACATTTTCTTTAGTCAGTCTGGAGAATGGTGAGGATGTGCACCAATTTTACAGTATACGACCTTGTCCGTTAGCCAGTCAGCACAGTGAATTGTTCTGCACCATCAGCAGAAAAACAGCCCCCAGCATAATGTTTCCACCTCTGTGCTTCTCTGTGGATATGATGTTCTCCGGGTCATGCTCAGCATTTCCCTTCCTTCAAACATGGGGGGTTGAGTTGATGTGATATTATTTTGGCACACTCAGTTGTGACTTTGTTTTGTTCTATCAAAGTTTAAAACAAATGTCCCCAGAGACTGTCATGTAAAAAGATCACTCCTCATTTTACTCATATTGTTCCTATTATCTCAAACAGCAAAGAAAAGTAAAAAATGTATACATGCAAGAGTTCTGGTCTTAGGAGGTTAAGCACCGATTCATCTCCATAGAATGATCTGTCTGGGTTAGCTTTGTAGAGAGACATAGCAGAATGCTGAATGGGTAAATGTGGGCACAAATTGTAGTGTAAAGCTCTAAGAGTATCTTGGTTGGATAAAAAGATGCTATATAAATACAGACCATTTACCATATCTCTCGCCTTTCAATGCCAGAAAATTTGATCATTCATTTCTTTTTAAGGTGCTCAAGCTTATAAAATAGGCTGGACATGATATAATAATTTATCCTTCTGTAGTTACTGCTTTGACTTATCTCTTTAGAACACATTTATTATCTCTCACTGCAGAAGGAAAAAGGATGATATCTGTTTTTAAAACTTTGCTAGTAATTACCGGAGTCGACCCCAGCTGTTAGTGAACCACATGATGGATTTAGATAAAACTTTCAAAAATTAATAGTTGGATGTAAATCTAGAAGTGATTTACTTTATAAGTCAACTCAGTTTCACCTGTCAACTGACTTTTGGAAAGACAAAAATGACTTCAATTCAGCCAGATTTGCAGATATTGAGGTGAATATGGGTTGAGACTCATTCACATCATATACTCTGAGCTCTACAGTGTGTGCTTGACATCTTTGAATATAACTCTGGCAAAAGAAATATGCCTTTAAATATCAATGTTTTATTGTGTATTTAACAGACATGTTGTCTGATGTCCATCTGTATACTATCCAGCCATCCATTCATGAACTTATCACCTTATCGTGGTGAAGGAGTTTGTGTGCCTGAATGATCCTAGGAGCTATGCTGTCAGGAGCAATTTTGATTGCCCCAGGTATGGTCTTCCATGGCAGATTGGTCCTAGATGACAGGCCAGACAACGATATGGACATAAACTACCAAGGAACTCTGTGTCCCTTGCCCAGACGTGGGTTACCAGGGCCCCAACCTGGAGCCAGGGCTCATCGGCGAGCGCCTGGTAGCCGAGTCTATTCCCATGGGAAATGAGCTACATGTGTTTGTCTTCCTGTGGGCCCATCACCTGCAGGAGGGTTTATACAAGTCGGGTGCATGATGTCATGGGCAGTAGCCAAAGGCAGGAACCTTGATGCTCTGACCCTGGCCTACCAAAGCTATCTGTATACTGATCTTCAGAAATCCTTAAAATTCACACAAAAAAATTGTACTCTCACATGACACAAACTTTACTTACAACAACATATATTATTTAGACATACACAACTGAAGTACACAAAGCACAATCCAGAAAACACCTCACTGTCCTCAGGTGATTCTGGTTGTATTTGATGACCTCTGGTGTGTGAAAGTGCGAGACGTCATTCTGAGCGTTACCCATAATTCAGGGATTCATATAGAATTAGACATTTGGTTCTTTATTTACACCATGTGTTTGTGTGAATTTATCATGATCGGGCAACAATGTTTAATAAAAACAAGACCTCTAGATGTAAAATTAAGTTGAAGCTGAGTTTTCTCTCTACCTCTGTAGTTATGAAAAATGTGGAAATCCATATAATTTCCAGACAGTCCAAAATGGTTGACGTGTATGATTTAAATGTTTAATTTGTCCAGCTCAATTTCTGTCTTTAACTGCTGGCTGGTAATGCAGAAAATCAAAATGTACTATTATGTCTAGTCCAATATTCCACCATGTATACCTATTGTTCTAATGACCCAACAGTATTTTGTCTATAATTTTGAATTCATCCTCCATTTGTTCTTAATTAATTATAACCTCCTGTGTCCTTATCTCTGTCCAACAGGTGAGAACAGAAGCCTGGCTATTGCGATAGAGTCCGTTGTCAAGTGAAAAGACAGACAAAACGGTCCTGTTGCCATGGGAAAACAGAACAGCAAGCTGCGGCCAGAGATGCTGCAGGACCTCCGGGAGAATACTGAGTTCTCTGACCACGAGCTGCAGGAGTGGTACAAGGTATGTACTGTTACACCAAACATATTTTTGAAATATACCAATGCACTTTGACGTCATGTTTATTGCTTGAATATATTTATTATATACTACGTGATGTTTCTATTCTTATGTACTTACGAGAAAATCACTGGAGATTTTTGTTTCCTAATTGAGGCAGCACCACAATCTGGAATGTGTTAGCCGTCTAACAAATAAAACTAGCAACGTTAGTATTCTTTTGAAGTCATAAATTGCATAGCTGGCAGCATGATGGCTTAGCAGCTGACACTGCTGTTTCACAGCAAGAAGGTCCTGGGTTCGATCTCTGTTTCAGACCCGGGTTTTTTCTGTGTGAGGTTTGCATGTTCTTGTTGTGCTTGTGTGGATTTCCTCCCACAGACAAAACATGCATATTTGGCTGCCTCGAGGCCAATGGGAGTTGCCTGGTTAAATAAGGGTTAATAAAATAGCTGATCTTTTTACTGTAGCTCTTCTATGGACCTCACCAACTCACGAGGAAAATATTGAAGCCAACTGAAAAAGCACCGAAATCATCTTTCACACCAAAACCGTAGCAGACTCAACACTGTTTGACTGTTAGCAAAATATCTCATGAAACTCAAATTTTATTGAAACTGACAAAAAATAATCTCTGGATGTTTGTCTGAAACTGATTGACTTTTGGCGTTAACCAATTTCGAGATGGCTGCCAAAGCCAACTGGTCTTAGAAAACACTAAGTGGCTAAATTCAGCCAGTTTTACAGACATTAAGCTAAACATTTGTGTGGTAGTAGCTGGGAATCAGCCCCAACACTTTAGGCACTTGCATAATAGTTTTGCTTTAAGTACTTTGTATCGCCTTGCTGCTGAAAAATGCTATATAAATAAATGTTACCTTACCGACCTTATCCTAAATTTTGGCATTAACTGTAAAAATCAACACATTTTGTCTTTTAGAAAAATATCTCATGAGCCCCTGTAATTTAGCAAAAGTAATAAGTGAATGTACTGGTTATCTACAACTCATTAACACTTGGAGTCAACCCAATTTAACATGACTGCCAAAGCTAAAGAACCTACAGTAAATGGTTACAACCCAGTCAGTTTTACATATATCGAGTTAATTTTGGTGTGGTAGTAGCTGAGAATCATGCTCAAATATACCTTTTGAGGGCTACATACCTCGTGCATAACATCATTTACAAGGTTTGACCAAAAGTCATGCTTATTTCTCAACATAACTGGATTTTTGTTTAAAATGACATGGAACATGGTGTAATATATTTATTCCTTCATGGACTAACATTTAAAAATCATGTTTCAAAGTCTTCTCATTTGGACTAAAGTGGAATTCCTTTTTTGTAGGTTTGGATCAGCCCCACACCCCATACCCTCCACCCACCCACCATATAGAGGTTCTTGAGTATTAAGGACTGGACAAGCATGAACACATTACTGTTGTGCTAATGTCACATTAGTGTCTTGAGTAGAGTTGTTTGATCTTTTGCTTTTGACCTTTTTCTGTCAACTATTTGGTTTTCAAAACTGTGAGACAGTAATGACTGAAACTGTATGAGACTTTGAGAGGTTATTAGATTTGGAAATTGAAAAGGTCATCGCAAGCTGAAAATTGTGTGGATTTTCTAGGTATTAATCAATTCCAAACTAATTTAGCTATATATCATTATTCTGGCCATTACTGGAATAGTTTAGTGATACAGATGCAGTTGAAAGTTAATTTAAAAAAGTCTATCTTTATCAACTTTGCTCACTGCCAGATAGTCACAATGGGCCTCATGCAAGAACATGTTCGTATTCTTATCCTAAATTTCTCTTACTTTTGTTCGTACAAAGGGTTCGTACGAACATGTCACGTCAGATTCAACAAACTCTTCTATCTTCAGGAAAAGGGTGTAAATGAGCTGCGTAAATTCCACCTGTTCTATCCAGCTGCTCGTGCACGCGAGAGGAGATTAGCATAATTACCACCCCAAAAACACCATATAAGGCTATGATTCCTGCCTCAGATACAAGGAAGTGTCCATTCATGAAAATGGCAGCGAAAATTAAAAAGAAAAACTTTACGAGTTCAGAGATTGAAGTCCGTCTGTCAGAGATCCAGAAAAGAAAATCTGTCATTTTTAGCAGGTCAGCTGTGGAATAAAAAAGAGCTACTAAAAGTATAAACAACTGTGTTAAATCATTTTCATTTATTCAGAAGCCGCAGCGCAGCGCACCGTGCACCCACCCCCGCGCGCGCTGCGGTGGTCTCAGATGCGGGTTTGAAATAAGCATTTTAAAATGTTTTCAAAATATGTCTGGCACTTTGAAGAAAACCCAGGACTCGCTGGAGGGAATTATATACCCCCTCTGGTCTGGGAACGTCTCGGAGTCCCCCAGGACGAGCTGGAAAGTGTCTCTGGGGAGAGCGCGGGGTCTTTCTCCTGCTGTCCCCCCCTGCCGCACCTGATAGCGGATAAGTCGGCCGGACGGACAATTTATATTGTTAGTCTAAATTATTACATAAAATTATAACTCTAATTCAAGCAGAATAGCCTATTGTCAACATAATTATAGAGTGTGATTTATTTTCAACTCAAAATATCTTCAAACTAACGAAATATAAAGTTATTAGGGAGGAAAACCCATCTGGATAACAGCAGACTGACTGTACGTAAAATATACGACAGGTCTGGACCACTCGTAAATTTTGTTCGTATCTGAAAAAAATCGTAGAATACGAAAACATTGGTGAATGCCACAAAHTCTCCTAAATCACTCGTACGCACAATTGAAGAACAAATCTGTGCGTACGAAYGGTTCTTGCATGAGGCCCAATATGTTTGAGAGTGATGTCCCAGACCAGAGCACTGTGTCACTTCTGTTGGTTTTGTTCACGAATATTGTGCAACCACTGCTACCCTTAAGTTTCAGAATTCTCCACCAATACAAATTTAACTCTTGTTTAGTAATCCAACCATATGTGGCTGTTTGAATGAATTGCCAAACTGCAAAGCACATTCTGTCAGAAAGGCATTTTAAGTAACAAACTGTGAGCTTACCAATAAGCCACGAATCTAGATGCGTTAAATGCACAATCTGCATACAACCAAGCATAGATAATTTAAGAAACCCAGTGGTGTATATTCTCAGTCATTCAGGACGTGGGGATCCAGAGAATTGGAGAAAAATAAAGCAAACTGGGCTTCTTGTTTTGCTTCTCATTTAAAATGATTTCCATACAAACCTACGCTGACTCAGCCATTGAGAGTAATGAAATATGTCAGTCTACATCCAGAATCATGTATTTTTTCATTTATTTCAGGGTTTCTTGAAGGATTGTCCCAGTGGAACCTTGAATGTGGAGGAGTTTAAGAAGATCTACGCCAATTTCTTTCCCTACGGAGACGCCTCCAAATTTGCTGAACACGTCTTCCGAACTTTCGACACCAACGGCGATGGGACGATAGACTTCCGGGAGTTCATCATTGCCTTGAGTGTCACGTCACGAGGGAAGCTTGAGCAGAAGCTGAAATGGGCTTTCAGTATGTACGACCTGGATGGAAATGGGTACATCAGCCGCGAAGAGATGCTGGAGATCGTGCAGGTGAGTGATGAAGGTTGGACAAGAAGGCTTGCAAATACAAAAAGGAAAAAAAAATTTTTTTGTTGAATTTTTGTTGAAGCCTGTAGGCAACTGCCAAATGAGAATCGTACATGCTTCCTAATAGGGGACATATTTATGCTTGGAAACATTTTTCTACCTATTTGAACTCTTGTATTTCACAAAGTTTCCAAAAATCAAAGCAACTCAGGGGAAGGTCTTATCTGAATTTTATACAGTACTTGTGCGCATTTACTTCCTTGGTCCTCAGTGTAATTTTGCTAATGCAATATTTTTTGAGGAAATATTGTTAATCACGGTTTCCTGTATATTAGCTAAAACATGGATATTTTGGCAAAAATGTCTTTTTGTTTCCTTTAAAACATCAGTACTCCAGGGGATTAGCTGTATCATGGGAACACTGTTGCAAAGCTAACCTTTGTCGTTTTAGTCTTGCATTTTCTTTCTTAGCACTTCTTTCTTTCACTGACATGTATTGGCAGCTATATTTAGCCTAACTGGTGTACTGAACACACTGTAGGTCAACTCATAGACAAAATCAAACATTCTTTGAACTTGGTCTATTTGCATTCACATAATTTAAATGCTGAATGGTTTTGGTTGGACTTTTAGTTTGTGAAAATCAAATCCAATCACTGAAATTAGAACCTAATCACATTACTGTAAGTGAAAAAATCTGCCAGAGGAGTAAGACAATGCACTTTATGAAAAAAGAAAAATTTATAGGCTACCATGATTAATGATCTAACACATTCTGCTCTTGCTTAGTATATCAGTCTCAAAACAAGATCAAAAGTACGTTTTGGCTGGCTATAAAATTGAAAGACTTGGTAAGATGGACAGTTTTTGCAGTGTTAATTGACAGCAGGTTGTGTTGCTGTTCAGTGTGCCTAAAGTTGACTTTAATTAAAATACTGTATGTTAGAGTAGCTGATTGTATTTATTTTTTAGATAAGTTTGAAATGTCCTCCCATTTGAAGGACAGAATTGGAAATCTATTACAAATGTTATATGATGATTATGACTGATGGTGGTCAGAGGGTCCGGTGGCGCCTGTGTATGGCAGCCTCGCCTCTGTCAGTGTGCCCCAGGACAGCTGTGGCTACAATTGTAGTTTGCCATCATCAGTGTGTGAATGTGTGTGTGCATGAGTGAATGTCTGTAGTGTGAAGCGCTTTGAGTGTCCTGGATGGATAGAAACACGCTATATAAGTACAGTCCATTTACCATTTACCATTATGTGTACCTACAGTGTTTCCCCTACATTACTGGGCTTGGCATGGCACTTGTTGGAACAGGGCAGGGTTAGCTGCAGCAGAGTGCTACGCTACTAATGCTAGTGGTTGTCAAGGGGGGTAGCATAGAGGTGCTCTATAGTGATAATGCTAAGTTGAAGCTACTTATCTTGTTGCTACAGTTTCCACTTCTGATCCGGAGGTAACGGCACTTTCCCTACCAGTGGGGGTGGGGGAGATTGTGATAGGCAGAGGGGCCAGTTTTGTTGGGATATTGATAGGGAAAATGCTGTTTCATATCAGAACAGGAACATTTCTGAAGAAATTTTGAAGGGTATCCGTTTGGACGTTTGAATTAAGTAAGAAATATAACATGAAACTAAATCAAAAGAAACACTAACGCTACCAGTGATACATTTTGATCACCTGAGAAATGACACTCTGAGCTCTCACTCCCTGACAGCACTTTAACGAGGCAGACAGACTGAAATGCAGAGTAAAAAGTAGGACTCAAATGTGCAGTCAACCTGTAAAAACTGTAGGTAGTTTTAGGTAAAGATAGCTTAACCATAAATGCCAGAAGCATCGAGAAGAGGGTCTCTGAAATCAATAAGTAGGAGTTCCTTGGGTGGGGGGCGTAGGGTGAGCTTTCTTGAAACAACAGAACAACATTATTAAGTAACACAGTATTAAGGGTGCTTTGACGCTTATTGCCACCATTTTTTAATCCTTTTGTTACGATTTGTCGTAAATAAAGAACAAATATGGCCCCAAAAAGAAATTAAAAAAATTTCTTGAATACTTTCTCCCTTTTCCCTCAGGGAAAAGGGAGACCGCTGTTGACCACATGTTTAGACCACTGTAACACATTTTAAACAAATTGCTGGTCTATTGTAAAGTAACATTATTGCTGAACATAATTTTCCTGCTGAGAAACAAAAATTGGTAAAAACCCTTGAGATACTAGTCTGAGGATCATGAGCACGGGTGTGTTTCATGGTTCTCATGGATTAGCAAGTTAAATTTAACCAGCGTTTATCCCTGAGTGTGCAGAATACCAGGATTATCTCACAGCGCACAGAGGTTACATTGTAGAGTGAAGAGGAGGGCACCATTGTGTAATTGTGCACCAAGCGAGAATGATAGGAGATTTTTTACAATAAATAGGAGGTCAGATTAGTTTTGCTTATTGTTGGACCAACATACTAGAACTACACCTTACTCATTGTGATCTACGTGTCAACCAAACTTACTATGGTTTAAATGTTAAAGGGGCAATATTATGTGTTTCTCAGGCATACATTTAAATACTATACCATAATAAAGTATCTATGTCACCTTTAGTTGTTATTAAAATTCTGTTTTTATGTTTAAAAACAAAATAAACTTATCTTCTCATCACTTCCTCTTCTAAACGCCTTGAAATGTGCCTCTGTCTCTTTAAGAAACACCCTCTGCATGGGGGGGGGGGGCACCATGATGCAGTTTACTTGGCGTCTGAAAATACATTTCCTCAAAGGTATTTTGAATCTGAAAAGAGCTTCACTGAGAGAGAAGTGTTGAGAGCAGCAGACAGTTTCACTTTCACTTTCACTCGTTTGCTTTGTTACTGCCGAGAGCCTGCAGGAGTCATGGGCGGGAGGTGTGGGGTGGGGGCGTGGGGAGGTGTGCTCCGTGATGAGGAAGCTCAGCTTAAAGACACGTCCCAGAGGTGTTTCTGGTCCCAAAAGACGTTTCTGGTCCCCACCTGTCGTTTTGCTCCTCAGCATGGCTGCCTAAAAACGCTGCAGGATTTCTCAAACATGCATGAATGAGTCAAAGCAAGGCTTTGGGCATGTTTTTATGAGAGTATAACATTATAATGTGATATAAAACTCAAAAACGTTGATTTTACATGATATTTCCCTTTTAATAATGATACTATATGTTAATGTACAAAACACAAGAACAAGCTCAAATTTAACAGTGCCAATGTTTCTTAGTGAGATATTTAAGTTAAATCAGCAAACTACACAAAATACAAAAGGGTTAAGATATTTGGAATGAATTGTCATGACACAGACGTCAGGATCATGTGCGTGCAATCAGAAGAAGCTTACATGAGTCAGAGGCGAACCCCACTCTTATCTCAAACAGCATGGATGACTCAAGTGGCTCAAGTGAACCTGATCATTTCAGTCAAGTTCATAAAGTGGACCAAATTCACTGCCTCTGCTAAAACCACATGAATGAGCATTAGTTCATTTATACCAATGATTTTCTTTTCACAAGACAATCACTGTTGTTCAGATGATTGCATGTTCACATTCTCATGCCTATCGAAGCTTTCAGCTTGTCATAAAAAAAGAGGGATTACTCAGCTCTATATACTGTAACTTATTATTTATATTGTTTGGTTGTATGTAGAAATTGAATGTCCTCATTAAAAGATAAGGGTCCATACTGCACCCAATATTAAAAAAATGTGTTTTTTTTAAACACCAAAATCCTACACCAAACTGTATCAAAACAGAGGTAACACATTCTCTCAAAATGCCTTATCTATCGTATCTTTGATAGTGTTACTCCAAATTACCCATTTCAGGACATCATAAAGTTTATCTGGTGGAACAATAAAGTGAGACAGACTGAAAAAAGGTAAAACAGTTCCATGTTTAGCACCAAGGGATAATGGGCATGTGCAAAAACAGTGAGCTTCGTCATCATTTCTAAAGAGACACATCGCTGAATTTTTCAAACCTTCACTTTGGAAAATGCTTTTAGAAATAAAAAAAAATACTTTTTTGTGAGGGCTACAAATTCACACACTCTAATTTATTTTGGGTAGCCTGTAAAAAAAAAAAGAGTGCTGTGACCTTGATATACAATCAGTTTTACACCCTGTACTCCCTACAGAGAAATAAGTGGCACTTGAACTGATTTTAAATCTGTAATTGATGCTAGCTGATACTCTGAGCCTTTTCATGCTCTCATACTGAGGCTAATTTAATGCTGTCAAGACAGAAAAATGTTTATATCAGTCGACAGATAAAGATGTATCAGATCAATACTACAACTTCTCTTTAGCCTTTACACATGCATACATATTTATGACAGGCTGGTTTTCACAATCTGTAAGACATCTGTTCTCGCTGACGTGGTCATGAGAAATTGGTTTTCACATGGATATTTAAAGGTTCTAGTTAAAAGGGACCAAAAGAATTACTTGATATTAGGATGAAATTAAAAAAACTGGGACAGTTACATGTATTTTTCGTAGACATTGCTAGTCAATAGCAGTCAAGCAGGATGGAGTTGAGTTTCAATCATGACACACTTTATCGTCACACACATCACTAAAAGAAAATTACAGAAGAACATTGCGTTCACAAATTAAAAAATAGACTCCTAATCTCACAATTACAATGATAAAATCATGGATATATAAATTTAGCTGGGGACAGGTTGCCCAACATGACAGGACTGTCCCCGGGAATTGGGTATGGTAAATTCTTCTCCATGTAACACACATCCCACACAAACAGCAACAGCATAATTGGTTAAGTGGATCTGTATTTTCAGTTGATGTTGGAGTTGGAAGATTAAGATTTGTTTCTTCTTACAAAAGCACTGTTTTGCAATCTTGTCCCAAAGAGTTTGCCACTGTTTCCAACTAGCGATACAGTCCTACGCTGCCCGTTTGAGTCGTATTCCCTTCCTGACAGCACAGCCCCGGAAAGCTGCCTGCGTCTCCACGCTGTCTCCTTCATGCACAAAAAATGTGCTCTCTCCTTCCATGAGTTCTTTGACAGGCTTTATAAGTTTTGCTGGCACAGTTGTAAAGATGACTGTATTTTCTAATACCCTCGAGCAGCTGATCTTGAGCCGAGCGATTACAGTGCAAAAAAGCTGTATAGTTTAGCCAGTTTTTAACATAAACATTACCATGAAGTTCTGACCAATCTCGCAATACTTGGTTCATACTGTGGTAGAAAAAAGTTCTCAAAGGGGTTGTGTGCAGTGCAATTTTTAGTATACAACCACATCAGCAAGATAGAATTTTGGCACTTCCTGCACAAGTAGATTTAAACATCAGTAAACGGTGATTCTCAGCACTGCAGTCTTTTGGATTTTCAGCTCTCTTATGTTTTGGTTCTCTCCTGCCGAGTCTTCCTAATGGGTCTCTGTTGGCTGAAATTCACTTGGCTTTCTCTTCTCCTGCCATCACCCACCCTGTCTCTCCTCCTCCTTCCTCTCTCTCTCTTTCTCTGACGGTCTTCCAGGCCATCTACAAGATGGTGTCGTCTGTGATGAAGATGCCAGAGGATGAATCCACGCCAGAGAAGAGGACAGATAAGATCTTCAGACAAATGGACCTCAATAATGACGGTGAGAGGGGAAAAGTTTCATGAAGGGTGGGGTGAGAGTTGTACAGCTGAGTCTAGTCATTTATTGAGAAATGTGGGGGAAGGGGTTCAAAGAAAAGAAAAAACAAACAAACAGCACATGTGTATCTTGCCAACTTTTTGATGGTGGATTAGTAACACTTGATTGAGGTGGAAAAAAGCAGACGAGCAAAAAAAACTGGTTAAAAGTGAAACCCAGATTTCCGGGAGGGACGCGTTCTGAAAGTACTCGCTAATCGTGAAAAAATGTGAATATTGGATGTGGTCCAAAAAAGACCTACATTGCATTTGTGTGTCATTTGAATGTGGAAACATCCAAACAAAGAAAACAAAACAAAAAAAAAAAACGAGAGTGAAAGTTAGCAGCTACACACATACTGTAGCGTGCAGTAAAATGGCAGAAATGCTGCTCTCCTGGTGGAGGGGAGGCGCAGGGCATGTGTCATACTGTACTGTTTTTCTTTTATATGGAACCAAATTTATGTTAATGTTTATGTTGCAAATTAGTAAATTATACTCTTGATAATTTGGCATGAAAACTAAAAAAAAAAAAGCATAAGATAGAACAAAAACTATGTTCCTTTCTGAACATTAATGATTTCTGCGAAGTTTCCGGGATTACTACTAGCTAGGTTTTATTTTAAAAAATCTGAAAAAGACTGAGTCCGCAAACAAAAGGGATTTTGGGGTTTAACTTTATAAGACTTTTTTATTATTATTATTTTTGTCTCCTTGTGTTCTGCAGGTAAATTATCTCTGGAGGAGTTTATTAAAGGTGCCAAAAGTGACCCCTCAATCGTTCGGCTACTCCAGTGTGACCCCAGCTCCGCTTCCCAGTTCTGAACCTGCCCAGCCGCAAGCCTGTTCTTTATTATTACTATTTTTTCCCAATCTTTCTGTTACTCAAATCAACGCATGATGGTTCGCATCTCTCATATCTTCCGTTCTGTTATTGTTCGATAGAGAGGTTAAGGAGAGAAGTGAAAATCATTTTTCTTTTATATGGGAGAAAATAAAAGGACGTATGTGTATTTATGGACTGGCTCAATGAGGCGCCTGCTGATGTTTCTGAATATCTCCATCCATAAACAGAGCGCAGGTCCAGAGAACCTGTTCCACTGTGGGGCTGTTTTCTGCAGGACGAGTGATGACTCTGGTTCTTCTCTATCACATGTATATTATGTATACACTGTACGTCTGTGTACATCACAATAATTCATCATATATGCGTACATTCTCTGATGAAAGGCCGAATTCTAAAGCTCTGATCTTAACAGGAAGTTGGTTTGGAATAAGTAGAGGAGAGGTTCTTGGGATTTTATTGCTGTATGATCTTTCGCTGTGAAAAAGAAGGCCTAAGATCCCATTTGATTTGTATTGATATCTACTGCCATTTTGTTTACGTTAATTTTTTTGTCATTTGTACATATCATTTCATTGTTTGTGTTTTATTTATTCATTTTTATTCTTATGAGTTTGCTTTTACTTTTATATTTTAAGACGACCATATCCCAGTTTACACTGACAGAAAGGGAATAAGTTGGGAGTTGAGGTCCTTTTTTTGTTTGTTTTGTTTAAATCATAAAGACTAAGAAATCGCGGCATCCCATAATGCATTTGATCAGCGGCGCCGGTAGCACATATCATTTCAGCCGCGGTGTATTTGCAAAGTACAGCAGTGCATTAAAGACTGAATGAGTGCGTGTGCATGTGAATATACACTGTGTACTTGATGCTAACTTTTACAGTATTACCATCTTGTGTTGTTTGTCAAAATGTAAAGTATCTTAAAGTTCTTTAATATCAAGCAGTAAACTTAAAATAGGTGTAACCCATCACTATACTGCATGATCCCGCCATCTGGACGGAGGTAAAACTCACGACGACAGTTTACGTCTTTTTGTAGCTCTGCAGCCGTCTCAGAAACGACTGACTCCTCCTCTGGCTCTCGAACAATCCCCATCCTCCCTTCCTGAATCGTTTTTTCCCCTGACACAGAAAACTCACTAAGGGCTTGTTCATCACTCTTTTGCTGAATGCTTTTCTGTCTTCTAGATTAGTCTGCCTGCAGAGCGGTCACATGGTAAGTGTTTGACGAGGCAGCAGCAGGTTCACACACTTACCTGTTTGGATTTTAGACACTGACAGATATCAGTGAATCAATACTCTGTGTATTAGCGCTGCACTCTTAGGGTTCCTTACACTGATTCTGTTTGATGTTTTTAATAATTGAAGCATTAATGTCAACCATTTAGACAACTGTCCTGCATCTGATGAAATTTAAACCGTATGGTGTGTGTGTTGTTAAAGTTTTCATACGGTATGAATAAAAAGAAAAACTGTGTTACTGTGCACATGTAAACCTAAAGCCACTGGTTGCAGCATGGCCAGCACCACGACCATATGTTTCCTCCTGAATCCCACTGGTGTCCCACCGCCGTCATCATCTTGGGTTTGGTGGATTAATAACACACTTTGGGTACGTTTTGGGCAAACAGGAAGTGCTAAAGAAAGCTTAGCATAATCAAGTAGAGAAAGTCATATGGAAGACCATGAGGGCCACAGAGCAAAACATAAATAAATGTTTCTGAGTACTTTTCCCCCTAATTCTGAGAAAAGTCAGAAAAATATTTTATTTATTTATTTATTTATATTGTAGCTCTAATCCTCTTCCATAACTAACTGCTCTGCCCACATTAACTAAATGGTCAAAATTAGTTGTTAATAAAGTTGGGGTCAGGACCCTGTGGATCCTGAAACATCAAGATGTATTTCCAGAATTAATTACATTTATTATAGTTAATTATAAACAACTACCAACATATTTTTTTACTTCAATTGTTACAAAACAATGAGGTCAGCGTACTTAAAAATGTACGAAATTAGCATAAAACAGATTGTTGGATTTACTTTGTTATGTCAACAATGTCCATTCAACTGAGTTGAGTAAAAGTAAAGTAACTTTCACATTTATTTTCAGAGAAACCGTAAAAGTAATTTCACATTCAGTGAGTGGAAATTGTTGACGTAACTTGGTTAAGTAACTCCAACACATCTATTTGTTGAGTGTATTGATCTGACATCGACGTTTATCACCTAAAAATAGTTGGGGGCACAGATCTCTGCTACTGTTTTTTTTTTTTTTTTTTTTTGAGGCTTTAAAGCTAAAAATTTGAAAACCATTGATCTAACACATGACAAAGTCAAGGCCCATGGGCCAGTTATGGCCCTTACTACAATTGTATCCGGCCCATAAGATAATATTTAAATGTATTGGAATTAACTTGTCAGTCTATGACAAATTGTCTTTTTTGCCTAAAAAACTGAACTAACTCGTTGCGCACTTTTTATGGCAATTAACTGTGAAGCTGATAAAGTTTTAGAGGTTTTAGTTTTTCAATCATTTTGAATGAAACAAGCAACAACAACAACAAAAACTGATCAAACTCTTGCTAATAAACAAGAAAAAAATGTTTCTGTCTTGAGCTAATGTGCATCAGAGCCACAGATAATTCAATTTAAAGTATATTATCTTTTCCTGCATTCTCAATGTAAAGTAGAATATTAGTATAACTGTAGGATGGATTTCCATAGAAGGCTTTTTAAAATAATCTGATTTCACGGATTCAGGACAAGATAAGTGAAGAACTGCAAGCAGAAAGCATGGCATAAGAAGTGATGATGTCATTTAAAATGTGATCATTTTGTTTTTATTAGGAAACTGCTTGTTTTAAATACTTTATACTCAAACCCTAATTTTACCAATGTTCATCAAAATGCTTTTTAATGAAGCTTTATGCTGCTTTGAATTAGTTATTCCAGCAGAAATCTTATATTTCTGCCAGAAATGCCCCAAACTGTACCAGAAGTGCTACAGCTAGCTGCTGCTATTTATGCTTGTAAGCAACTGAATTCTACCCAAAAAAAAACTTTTCTTAAAATAGCATTCACGTACGTATCTTTTTTTTTTTTTTTTTTAGATTGGAGTTGTTTTAACACCACAGCAATCTGTTCAGCTCAGACTAGCCTTTAACTCGTCGATCTGGTCAAAGCTGAGGTCGTTCAAAAAGCCAAGATTGTTTTTCATAAACTTTCCTCCAAACTCTGTTTGAAAAACGTCTGAGCAATCGGTTCAACAAAGTGAATCAGGAGAAAACCACATCTCCACATGGTATCAAACTGTATTATTCAGACATGGAAGTATTGTAAACAACCAGTGTGAACCTGAGAGCTGTCCTGGTGCTGCGGCGTTCAATTCAGTTTAATACTAAAGTCATTCTGCACAACAGCTTCCTAACCAGCCTCTGCTTCGAGGATTCTTGAGTGTCACTGCCCTCTGCTGGTAGGATAAGAAACAACAGCTAGTACTCTGGTCCTTTTCTACTACTCACTGCCTCTTGATGAACTTGTGTTGGATAAATAAGACTCATTATTCCCTCCCCCTCCGTCCCCCACACTATTTTTCTGTTGCATGAAAATCTCAGTCGAGGATGCAAATGTTTGTTCTGTTGGACCTAATATCAAAATATATTTCTGTGTTTCAAAGCATCGCGTGCCGTCTGTGTCTTTATTTCTAGGACTGCAACGAAAGGACAAATGGATTGCGCCCAAGTTTTTCATTATAGCGTGCATTTTCTCAGATTTTTAGAAATATAATATTAGAAGAGGACAAGCTTCAGTAAGTTGAGATGAGCTTTTTTGTGGATTTTTTTTCCAAAAGACACAATAAATAGGCAAACAAATCTTTATTGAAACTAATATAGCCTTAAACAAATGAAGGAATAGTTTGGGATCATGCTCTGAAAATGTAAATTTTGTCTTGTCCAAAGATGGACAATTAGAAGAATCTGTTTTGTACGTAGGAGTACACAGCAACAAACAAATGTTGTTTCTAATGTGCCCTTTCAAATGAAAGATGTGCATTTGACCTTTTTTTTTTTTTTTTTTACAGAAAAGGACAAAATCCTGAAGTAAGCACATTTTAGTTGTGATCCTGTTATTTGTTTAAACATCACCAGTGGTTGGGGTCTCCAGCATGTTTTGGGAACATCCCCCGCAAAGGTGTAAAAAAGTATTCGGCAGGTGTGAAAGTGCACATGCGACATGCGAGTACAGGCAAAAGTTTTTTTTTTCTGAACTAACATTTACGATAAATTGCAGACAGAGTGTTGTTTGTGCTACACACCCTTTGCAGCACCAACAACATCCCAGGTCTGAATTCACTAGTTAATACACATGCTTATCAAAAATTTGTATATGCATGTGTCCTTTAAGAATACTAATAAAAAAGTATACTTTCAGTTTACCTTCTTTTGCATTTATCAGCAATATACTCAACAAAGTTCATGTTACCTTTACTAGGCTTATACTAAAAATATACTAAAAGTCTTAGTTAGCAATAATTATATTTAAACATTTGACCAAAAAATAATTAATACAATTTCACACAGACTTAGCACATATCCTGGGTTTAAATTCTAACCTGTAAGTTTTTCAGAAAACGTCAGCTTGTGTGTGAATAACTGAAAAGTGTTTGGTGCAGTCAAATAAAACACCTGAATCTATTTAATTATTCAACATTACAACTGGAGTAGAAGTACAACTAGAAGGCTATTTGTAGTACACTTGAAAATGCCCTTTTTAAATGCTTGACAGTGGTGGTGCAGAAGGCGAGCCTGTGATTGGAAGTCGCTGGTTCGAATCCCAACTGGTACATCAACTTTTGGGGGTGGAGGTGAAGCACATACAGCTTCCTCCACACTTGTTTGCCTCACTCTGGTCCATAAAGAAGGAAGCAGCCAAAAGGCACACACACACACACACACACACACACACACACACAC